TATAATCGGTATCTAGTTGCTACGTGGCAAAAAAGTTGGGGAGAGTGGTGTAGCGTCTGCAGCAGGGCGACTGTCTTAGCACTTCTCTAATAGAGTAGTTTTGAGTTGCAGGCCACGCCGGTGGCATTCGATCTTCCGTGTCTGTTATTTGTCAGTAACTGGAAAAGACGAGTGGTAGAAGGAAAGTAAAGCAGAGCTTCATTTTTTAGTCGAATCCGACCAAAAAAGTCCCTCTAGTCTTCGTCGCCGCTCCATTTTCAGGAGCCCCTAATCAAATCTTATACTTTCCCATGGAATGTGCACGGACGCGGTAATTTCCCACTTTCCCCCTAATCAGATCGCTCCCAACTCTTCAATCATTCAAATTCACTGACTCAATTTCATTCTTTACCATTTATTATTAGGGCCTTTAACATCAAGACAAGATACAAAGGATTCATCTTTCAGCTCCATTTTCTGTCTCCCCTCTCTTCAATTTTATGGGGACCACTCTGCTTCTTAGGTCCCCTGTTAAGCTTTCTCCGTCTCCATCTGGTATTCTTTTTTAGTTTTTTCAAAACAATTACTTTACTACATGCATTCCTTCCATGGTAATACATTTTTCTTTATTCTGATTTTAGTTAAATGCTGGGTCTTTGTACATTTCTAGTTTTTAATCGGAGTGCTGTACTGCTGTTTTAGAAGGAGTTAATCATAAATTCATATAAAAATTTTTAAAATTGGTTAAAATTTTCAAATTACTTAATCCATTTTAGATTTCAGTCTGTGCAAATTTCAAGCTTCTCCTATATTTCTAACAAATGTAATTTCAGTTTTCGAGTCTTGTGTTGCCTGCAGTTAATGTTATTTCAGTCTCCAGGTTCTTCTGTAGGAGTGCAAGTTCCAAGGTGCAAGGCATGTAACAACATCCTAGGAAATTGTCCTACTCTGAGGTTTCGAGACCATATTTGAAGCATCGTTGAGGAGCCCTGCCCCTAGACATGGGGAGAGAGATATGAGAAACTCTACGCAATTTAAGACTCTCACACGTTTGATTTTTCAAAAGTTTCCAATTTGATAAGACTTGAATAGTCAATTCGCTTACATATTGGGTGTGAAAGAATACATCACTTGCTCCACTCTGCTTGACTTTTCAACTTTGGATTTTGGGTTTCAATTTCTTGGCAAGTTCAGGAACATTGACTATTACAATCGGCTATTGTCTTAATTGATGAAAGAAAATGATGCAGCATGCAGCCCCACAACTGAATTTTCTACACCAAAATTTTCAAAGTAAAAGAGAAGAAGAAGCAAAGCGAGTAGGATTGTAGGGCATAACGGAAACCTTGATTTATAGTTTTTGTAATTGTAGAAACACAGTCAAAGCTAAAGATTGAAGCATAAAGATTGACTCCAGGAATCCTTTCCTTTAGTTATATATACCACACAATTAGAGCTAGCCAGCACATGCCCTTCAAAATATACATATGGTTATCAATATTATTATGTTACAAAAACTGATCTAATAATCTATATAGCCATCTTTGCTGCCATCCCACTTAATATTTATTTACTATTATTACTACTTCTAGTGAGATGAGTGTGTAAATAGTCCTATACCTAAAAAGCTTCTCCTATATTTCTAACAAATGTAATTACAATTTTCGAGTCTTGTATTGCCTGCAATTAATGTTATTTCAGTCCCCAGGTTCTTCTGTAGGAGTGCAAGTTCCAAGGTGCACGGTATGTAACAACATCGTAGGAAAATGTCCTACTCTGTGGTTTGGGGGCCATATTTGAAGCATCATTGAGGAACCCTGCCCCTAGACATGGGGAGACAAACAGAGATGAGAAACTCTACATAATTTTGGACTGTTACACATTTGATTTTTCAAAAGTTTCCAATTTGTTCAAACTTGATTAGTCAATTCACTTTCATATTGGGTGTGAAAGAATACATCATTTGCCCCACTTTGCTTGATTTTTCTACTTTGGATTTCGAGTTTCAATTTCTTGGCAAGTTCAAGAACATTGACTTTCACAATCGGTTATTATCATAATTAATTGAGGAGTGAAGATAATGCAGCACGCAACCCCCACAATTGAATTTTCTACACCAAAATTTTCATAGTAATAAAGAAGATGAAGAAGCAAAGCAAGCAAAGATTGTTAGGTATAATGGAAACCTTGATTTGTCATTTTTGTAATTGTAGAAACAAAATCAAAACTAAAGTTAAATAAAGACTCAAGCAGAGATGAACTCCACGAATCCTTTATTTACATATACCACACAATTAGAGCTAGCTAGCACATGCCCTTCAAAATATACATATAGTTATCAATATTATTATGTTACAAAAACTGGTCTAATAATCTATATAACCTTCTTTGCTATCATCCCACTTAATTAATGCGCACTTTCAAGTAAACTAATTGACTTTATCTCTATATCATTGCACGAAGTACTGGAGAACTCTGCGATGTTGGTTGCCTTTGTAAAATCATTATCTTGAATTTCATGAGGATAAAACTAGAAAGGTGTTGGAGGAAAATGCAAGCCTTCAAGTTTTGCCTCAAGCATTTCCACAACTTTGTGCATTGAAGGACAGTCAGTTGGCCTCATTTGTGTGCACTACAAAGCTACCATGATCATTTTCTTTACCATTTTGTTTACCATTTCTCTTGATCTTTTGCGATTTCTCTTATTTCCAAGTATATTCCTTTGTTCATTTGCTCAAAATCCCATGAAGGAAAGTAAATTTAACTCGAGGGCTCTGAAGTGGGTTTAAATTCTTTCTTTTGCAAGCCATTTCCGTCAACAACATAGCATAACTCTATATAGACATCAGCCTTATAAAAGACACCTCTAATGTTTTTGTATAACAGTTCAGGTGCCACATATCCTAGAGTTCCTTTTGCTACAATCAGGGACATAATGTTATTTTTTTGTTGAATATAACTTTGCAAGACCAAAATCCAAGATTTTTTGGATGAAGTTCTCATCTAAAAGAATGCTATGAGGCTTGATATCAAAATGTAAGATTTGCATGTCACAACCTTGATGTAAATACTCAATCTCATGAGCCACCCCTAGACCAATCTTGTATAGGTTTCCTCAACCCAAACTTGCATTTCCTTCTCAAGGGAAAATATATTTATCAAGAGAACCATTAGGCATGAAGTCACATACAAGAGCACATTTTGATCCGTCAACACAAAAGCCAATCAATTGTACAACATTAACATGGTGAATTCTTCCAATCATAGCAACTTTGTTGACAAAATCTTGACTTGTAACTTTGGATTTGCCCAACAACTTTACCGCTGCAAGCCGACTACTCTTAAGTTTCGCCTTATATACTTCACTAAAACCTCCTTCACCTAATTTATCTTTAAAACCATTGGTTATCTTTTTGATATTTGAGTCAAAATAACTTATTAGCATGAGGTTATTGTTGTTTTGCAAGAACTCCTCAATAAAATCATATTTAGATAAATGCCTTCTCTGCCTTTTATAAACCAAAAATATGATGAAACTTAGAATTCCAATAACACTTAGTAATACTCGCCATAAATTCCATAACTCCCGAAAACCTACACAGGTATAGAAAAAAAATTTACTATTGTTACTTCTTCTAGTGAGATGAGTGTGTAATCAATCACCAATTTGATTCATGAGAAAACATGCAGTTGAGTTGCATTCATTAATGAAATATTCCTCATCAATATGAATTGCTTTTGTATTTATATATGGACATAGATGAGTTTTTTTTCATTTTAATAAGCTGGTTAAATTTGGATTTTTTAGATTAGCTACTTACCCTATTCGAGTGTCATGAGTCCAACAATTTTGTAACAAAGACTTTTGATATCTGC